GACCACTTCTCACACGGACACGCACCCCCCCACCCCACCCCCCCTCCAAACCCTCAAGACCCCGCACCCCGTCCTCAAAGGCGGCGAGCAGACTCAGCAGCCCCGGCACAGCCCCCGCCGCGACCACCGCGTCCTGCGCCGCCTCGCAGTTGCAGGCGAGGTTGGAGAGCGCGGAGGCGGCGGCCTGCGCCGCGCCGCGCTCGCGCGAGCCCAGCAGGCGCGTCAGGCGCGGCGCGGCCCCGGCCTCCAGCACCAGGCGCTTGTTGCGTCCGTCGCGGCCCGCCAGGTTGCGCAGCGCGCGCGCGGCGTGCTGCACGGCCATGGGCGTGCCGCTGGCCAGCAGGTCGGCCAGCGGGGCCACCGCGCCGGCCTCCGCCAGCAGGGCCGAGGTGGCCTCGCAGTTGGCAGCCAGGTTGCCCAGCGTGGCCGCCGCCGCCTCGCGCCCCATGGCGCCGTCCGTCTCCAGCATCCGTGCCTGGGTTGGGTGGTTACATGTGGTGGGCGCTGGGAGGAGAGTGGGGGCCGCATGGGGGCTGACTGGGGGGTCCCCAGGCCGGGCGCAGGCGGGTGTTGCGGGGGTGCGGGCGGAAACCGGGCATGGGGGCGATCCAGGACCCCCACACCCCGCGCTCACCAGGCTGTGGATGGCCCCAAACTGCGCGGCCTCCAGCTTGTTCTTCCCCGAGTTGACCACGACGTTGGACAGCGCGCGCGCCGCGGCCTGGCGCGCGTGGGAGGAGGGGCTCTGCAGCAGGCCCGCCAGCACGGCGATGCCGCCGGCCTCGGCAACGGCGCGGCGCTGCGCGGTGTCGCGCGCCAGCTGGCGCAGCACGCCCGCCAGCACGCCGCGCAGCGCGGGGTCGCGCGCGCCGCGCAGCGCGCGCAGCGTGGCCGGCACCAGGCCCAGCGCAGCCGCCGCCGCACGCCAGAGCTCGCCGCCGGCCTCCGCGCCGGCTTCCAGCGCCACCGCCGCGACCCACTGGCGCAGGAGCGAGGGCGAGGCCAGCGCCGCCACCGCGCCGGCGACGTCGTCGGCGTCAAAGTCCAGCTCCGCGTCCGGCCAGCCGTCGGCGCGCAGGTCCGAGGCCAGCGCGGCCACCGCGCTGCGGGAAAGCGCGGCGCTGCCGGGGAGGCGAGGCGGCGGCGGACCCGACTCCTCCTCGGCGGCGCACCCGTTTGGTAGTGCCCCCTCGCTCCGCGCATGCCCCCCACTCCCCAGCGCCCCGGAGCCGCCGAGCGCCAGGTCTAGGGACAAAGCATTCGCAAGGGGCAGGCCGGACCGCGGCACCGGCCCCGCCACGCCGCCGCCCATGCCCGCGAACCAGGCCGCCACGTGGCCGAGCAGGCGCGCGGCGCCGCGCACGGGCGAGCCCGGGCCTTCGCCCGCCCGTCCGGGCGCGGCGCGGGGTGGCGTACCGGGTGCCTCGCCCTTCCCGGGCGCGTTGCCGGGGGCAGGACCGGGGGAAGCCCCGTCCACGATGTCCGCTGGGTCTGTCAGGTCCGCCACGGGGTGCGCCATCACGTTCGAGCTGGCCCTGCCCTCGTCCGCCCTGGAGAGGGGTTCCTCGCTGACACCCTGGCCTTCTGCACCACCAGAACCCTTGCCGGCACCCGGTGGGGTGCCCTGCCCTGGCGGCGTGGCCTCGCCCAGGCAGGCGCTGGCCGCGGGCGTGGTGCGCGCGGAGGCCAGCGCCTCGGCGGCCTCGCTGGGGTCGGCCAACGGAGCGCCGTCTTGGGCACACCCTTCCCCCGCGACGGGCTCCTCCAGCCAGTCCCAGGCCCCGGTCCCCGCGGCCAGCAGGCACATGAGCACCTGGTGGCAGAAGAAGGCGAGCACGACGTCACCCGCGGCGCGCGCGGCCACGCTGGCGGCGCGCAGCGCGAGCACCTCCCGCTCCAGCCAGACGCCAAGGCCCTCGCGGCCGAGGGACACCAGACGCAGCGCGGCGCGCAGCTGGGCGCCCAGCGCGGCGCGGTCGCCTCGCCCGACCCCCGCCAGCGTCAGCCCGCGCAGGAGCTGCCAGGTGAGCAGGTCGGTGCCGGGGCGGGGGGCGAAGGTGGCGCCGGCGATCTGGCGCGGGACGCGCGCAGCGTCCTGCGCCACGTCGGGCGGTGCGTCGCCCGCACAAGCCGCCAGCTCGGCCAGCGCTGAGCCCAGCTCCTTGAGGCACGCGCCCAGCCGCACCTCCGTGTCCTCTGTCACGAGCACGGCCTGGAGGGAGCCCATGGACGCCGTGGCATCCACTACGTCGGCCACGCCCTGCAGCGCATCCTGCAGGCTCGCTACGGAGGGTTTGGGAGGGGGAGGGGGTGAGAACGAACGATTACAAGGATGGAAGGGTGTTTGGAGGGGGAGAACGGGTGGAATGTCGTGGAGCAAGGCCAGGTAGGTGTGATGCAAGGCTCATGGTGCGCAGGGACAAGGGGGGGGGGAGGGGGGGGAATGGGGGGGGAATTCAAGCAGGGGAGGGGGCCTGCATCTGCGCACGATAAGCCAGGGCCGCGGGGTGGCCTGTGACAGGATGGCGCTGTGGATCGAGGAGACCGGCTGCGGGTGCATGGCACTCGGAACCTGGGCAGAGGAGAGTCGGCATACAACTGGCGTCAGCCTCCCAAACACGTAGCCCACCGTGTGCCTCCGGCCAGGCGCGAAGGGCATCCAGGCCCTCCACGCTGCGCAGGCCCTCCAGGATCAACTGCACCTTGCCCACAAACCGTGCCACCGTCCTGCACGGGTTGAAGGGAGAGCCGGCGTGCCTGGGCGTGCACCAGGGAGCACGAGGATGCCAGGGCCGCCAGGTCTGAAACCGCCCAGCCCTGGTCAGCACGGCTCCCTCGCCCACCCTGCAGGCCCTCACCTCAGGTCCTCCACCTCAGTCTTGGAGGCAAAGGCTGCCTTGCGGATCGCGCGGCACATGGCCACCGTGGCATCCAGTCCTGCCATTGGGTAGCTAGCCTCTCGGGCAGATCAGGCCTCACGGGGCGGCACCCTATCGCAGGCCCGAGCCCGGCATGAAGATTGTTTGCAGGGAAGCAGGTGTGATGTAGAGCCGGTTTTGGGCAGGGTGTCTGAGACGACGCCACCCTGTGCCGCGTTGGACCACGCGGAACACGCCGGTATGAGCCCGAGCCAGCCGTGTACGGACGGGTGAGGACGGGCCGCTGTGTGTCTTAGGGATTGAGAAGACACTGGGCAGTGCGTTACAAATGAACGCCTTACAATTCGCCTCCTTCCCGACACCCGACAAGCAAGTACTGAATGTGGTTTCGCCCTCACCTGCCAAGAGGCAGATTGGTGCAGGGCCCACGCTCAGTAGCTCCGAATGCGCATTCGAGTTCCAAGCGATTTTGATGGTGTATATGGTATCGTTTGTGTCTCGAATCGCACTGGCATTGGAGTTGGAGGGTGTGGCCGAGCGGACCAGCGCTAACCCTCAGCATGCACGGCATGGCGAGGATTGTTGAAGGAGTGCTGACTCGACACCAGGGGCCCACAGACAGGACACTGGTATACCCTGGATTGTAAAGGACAAACAATAAACAAAGGAGGTGATGGCCAAGGATGCAGGCTTTCAAGGCGACACACAGACGAGGTGGGCAGGGACAAGGGGGGGGGGAGGGGGGGGAATGGTGGTGGAATTCAAGCAGGGGAGGGGGCCTGCATCTGCGCACGATAAGCCAGGGCCGCGGGGTGGCCTGTGACAGGATGGCGCTGTGGATCGAGGAGACCGGCTGCGGGTGCATGGCACTCGGAACCTGGGCAGAGGAGAGTCGGCATACAACTGGCGTCAGCCTCCCAAACACGTAGCCCACCGTGTGCCTCCGGCCAGGCGCGAAGGGCATCCAGGCCCTCCACGCTGCGCAGGCCCTCCAGGATCAACTGCACCTTGCCCACAAACCGTGCCACCGTCCTGCACGGGTTGAAGGGAGAGCCGGCGTGCCTGGGCGTGCACCAGGGAGCACGAGGATGCCAGGGCCGCCAGGTCTGAAACCGCCCAGCCCTGGTCAGCACGGCTCCCTCGCCCACCCTGCAGGCCCTCACCTCAGGTCCTCCACCTCAGTCTTGGAGGCAAAGGCTGCCTTGCGGATCGCGCGGCACATGGCCACCGTGGCATCCAGTCCTGCCATTGGGTAGCTAGCCTCTCGGGCAGATCAGGCCTCACGGGGCGGCACCCTATCGCAGGCCCGAGCCCGGCATGAAGATTGTTTGCAGGGAAGCAGGTGTGATGTAGAGCCGGTTTTGGGCAGGGTGTCTGAGACGACGCCACCCTGTGCCGCGTTGGACCACGCGGAACACGCCGGTATGAGCCCGAGCCAGCCGTGTACGGACGGGTGAGGACGGGCCGCTGTGTGTCTTAGGGATTGAGAAGACACTGGGCAGTGCGTTACAAATGAACGCCTTACAATTCGCCTCCTTCCCGACACCCGACAAGCAAGTACTGAATGTGGTTTCGCCCTCACCTGCCAAGAGGCAGATTGGTGCAGGGCCCACGCTCAGTAGCTCCGAATGCGCATTCGAGTTCCAAGCGATTTTGATGGTGTATATGGTATCGTTTGTGTCTCGAATCGCACTGGCATTGGAGTTGGAGGGTGTGGCCGAGCGGACCAGCGCTAACCCTCAGCATGCACGGCATGGCGAGGATTGTTGAAGGAGTGCTGACTCGACACCAGGGGCCCACAGACAGGACACTGGTATACCCTGGATTGTAAAGGACAAACAATAAACAAAGGAGGTGATGGCCAAGGATGCAGGCTTTCAAGGCGACACACAGACGAGGTGGCAGGGTCATCCATGTGACACTGGGCCAGCACTTCGGAATACCCATCATACAGAAGTCTTTATCAGAGCATGTCATCAATGCTGCAGTGTAATAAGAACCACTTCGAATCACTGGATGGGTCACCTTCCAGAGCTGCCCCCACATAAAATCTAGCAATACCCAGACTGGACCGTATTTGTTCTTGACAGTGTTCTGCACTCCAAGTCGGACAATGACCAGTGCTGATAATATCAGTTGCCAGAGACCGGCATCTGCAGTGGAACGTGCACCATCCCTTCATCACATTCATTGGATCGCCTGCTTGGCTAGGTAGGCCCATTGAGCAACGGCTCCTTTGGAGCTGTATGTCTCCGATGCGATCTCCCTCGTAGAGCCTGGAGTGAGTGTGCCCCTGCTCCCCTGGGTGATGTAGAGCAGGTTTGTGCAACATGAATATCCACCCTGAGCTTCTACACTTGTTGCAGAGTGTCCCATGCTCGAGGGAATGTTAGCCCCCAATGCTGCATCCAACTTGTTGGTAGTCCAAGGCTGCGTATGGGATCCAAGTCGCTTGTGGATCAGCCGTTGGGCCACTCTCCCCACCGAGCTATCGGTGATCAGCTGCTGACGGGGTCGGAACGCTCCGTCCTTTCCTACTCCCCTCGGAACGCAAGATATCGAGCGAGGGGGGCGAGGCCCCCCTCGGCACGCTTAAACATGCATTCACCACTGAGATGAATACCCGCGAGTGGGATCTCGGAACAGTGCCTCCACACTTGGCAACGCGTTGAACACTGCCGCGAGTGAGGCTGAACCGGGCCGGAAGGTGTCGGACGGCACCTGTGTGAAACCCTCACCGCACCGTTCCTCGGATCGCAAGCTGCCTCGGCCCGGCAGGCAAGAGCTTGGTGAGCCGAGTACTGGTCTCGTGATTTCTCTGGGCACGCCAGGTATACCGAGTTGGGTCGCCCGGTGGCACAGCTCTCGTGCGCTCCCGCCCTGGCTGTGCGAGCAGACCTCCCGGAGCCCGTGCATGCCATGATGGGCAGCCCATGCCCCCCTGAGGCCAGCACAGCCTCCCAGCTCCCCGAACACCTGCTGGAGAACATCTTCTCGTACCTGCAGGGCGGGAGGAAGAAGCATCAGTTCAGCGTGTGAGTAGTCCAAGGTGGTCTCACCGTTTTGTGTTGGAGAAGTGGGTGCACGGCTGTGGTTGACCGATCTGCCCAGGGTCAGGGGCCCTGAGTCCACGCTTGGCTGACAAGCGGTCGCAATGATGGGGGAAGCCTCTGTCTCGCGGCGGCCGCCTCGTCCAACGGCCACGCCAATCCCCGTCCGCCTGCCCGCCCAACCACATCACGCAGGTGTGGGGTGTGCAGGTCTTGGCGCAGAGTGGGCCAGCAGATGTTCTTCGCGCGTCCCTGGGACTGCGCCTCCGTCCTCTGCCACCCCTCCCAGCTCTTCCACCTGGTGCGTGGCGGGGTGCAGGGGCTTGGCAGGGCATCGCAGGGCCAGGGGGTCTCACGTCGCTGGCCCAGAATCTGAGGCATGGACCATCAAGGTCTCACACACCCACGCTCCCCCCGGGCGCCATGCGCCGCAGTCCCCCCGCCCTGTCCGCGGCTCCAAGTCCGGCCTGCTGAAGTGCTTCGTGCGGCGCGAGCCGGCAGCGCACGGCGCTGGCGGCCCCCGCCGCTTCTCCCTGTGGCTGGGCCGGGACCCGACGAGCCCCGGGGCCAACCCGGCGCGCACCCGCTTCCTGCTGGCCGCGCTGCAGAGCAGCCGCTCCGACACCGCCTTCTTCACCAGCGGGCACGCCGACGCGCCGCCCTGCGCGCAGCTGGGCACCAACGTGTTTGCCGCGCGGTACATCCTGACGGCGGGGCCCAGCCCCCAGGGGGAGGGGCTCCTGGCGGAGCTGCAGTACCGCGCGCGAGTGAAGGGCTTCATGCAGCCGCGCCGGCTGCAGGTGACCCTGCCGCAGCCGCCCCCCCCTCAGGCCGGCCTGCCGGTGGCGGCGGGGCCCAGCCCCAGGGTGTCGCCCCAGGCGTCCAGCCGCAGCTGGGTCAGCGTTGACTCTGTGGCGTCCCTGGGAGGGGCGGATGCGCCCCGCTGGGGTACCACCGGCCCAGGAGAGAGGCCGCTCGGCCCCGCACGGAAGACGGGCCCCTCGGCCCGGGAGGAGCAGCAGCAGCCGTCGGGGTCGGGCCGGGTGTCGCGCTTCCTCTTCCGCCTGGCGGCACTGCCGAGCCGCGCGCCGAGGCACCGGCCGCCCGATTTGTTGCCGGAGGTGGGTGGGAGGGTTGTTGAGGTGCCCGGCAGTTGGGGGCCATCGTGCATGGCTGTGAGGTTTGGGGTCGGGAAAGTCTTCAAGTTCATGCTGGCGGGACTGGATGAGAGAGGGCCTGCCCGAGCAGTTCTCTAACTATTGTGTGGTCCAGCCTGGGCAACAACTCTCACGCTCTGCAAGGCATCCCTGCCGTGCCATCGAGCTGCCCCTCCCCCATCCATGCTGCAGGATGCCGCCCCGATCCAGCTGCAGAACAATGCCCCCACTTGGAACTCCGGCCTGAGGTGCTGGTGCCTGAATTTCCGGGGCCGGGTGAAGCTGGCCTCCGTCAAGAACTTCCAGGTGCGCTGCGGTGACTGACTGACAGGCATGCTGCACCGAGCGATCACCCGGTCGATGCTTGACGCCTGCCCGGCTGCAGCATGCCGCGGGCGACGCTTCCTAGTCCCGCCCTGCCTGCCTGTTGGCATGGGATTGTGGTACCCTGATCCCACCCCCTCACTCAGCCTAGCCCTCACACCTCTGTGCAGTTGGTGGACACCCTGATCCCGGGGGGCCCCGTCATCATGCAGTTTGGCAAGGTGGACCAGGACATTTACATCTTGGACTTCAACCCCATGCGCGTCAACGCCCTGCAGGCTTTCGCCGTGGCCCTCTCCACCTTCGACAGCAAGATCATGCTCTGATGTCCCAGGGCCCTGTCCCCCCATGCATACACAATTGCTTGCCCTGCCCCCCCTCTTTCTCCCTTCAAATCTTGACCATGGAATGTTCTGCCTCTTCTCATAACAGGCTGGTTCAATCTCCTGCTCAGATGCTGGAAAGTATCTCAGGCGAATGTAACTGCAGAAACCACATCGTCCAGCTGGGGACTGCAGCATCCTGGGGTCCTTCCGAAAAGGCACCACTGGCGGATACCTGGCGTCGCCCGGCACCCATGTGACCTCGGAGGACATGCAGACTGGTCACCACTCGTGACAATAGCGGGAACATCCAATCATATCCAAGTTATACTCCTGGCAGTCTGGCTGCATTCGGGAAGCAACACATGGCTGCGACGGGACCCGCATGGCAGTGAACGGGATGGCGTCAGCACAGCCTCCCATGCTGGCGAAGGGCATGTGGAAGGAGCTGTGGGAGTCCAGGGCATGGCGCCTCTTCCCGCTCATCCTTTTATATGTGATAGGCGAGTAGGCTGTGCAAAGGCCGCGTCAAGCCATCGTCTCCGGGTATCGTGCCGTCGTGGAGGGGCCGTCGTGCATGGCCACCCCTCACTGCCCAAGACCGGCGCATGGGAGCACAGTGATGCTCCCTCTTTGGAGGTCCCCGTCAAGTGGCTTTGAGCTGAAGCTTTTATTCGTTGTAGACCTGTCCCAGGCCTGTGCTCCCCCTGATCCTTGCCTAGGTAGGTACAGAACGCCTCCACCTCACCCACATCCCAACAGCCCTCACCTTCCTGGTGCCCCATCTGCCCACCTTGCTCACCAACGACTTTGCTTCCCGCCGTGCCGGGCGCCAGCTGCACTGCGAGGACTACGTCGTGGCCGAGGCCCCCACGGCCTGTCGTGACGCCCACTCAGAGGTGGTTGCCTGGTCCAGCGGGGCCTCCTTCCTCTCCAACACCGTCATCAGCCTCTTCATGGTCTGTAGGAGGGTGGTCGTCCCAGACGGGGTTGAGGGTCATACATGCGAAGGTCTGGGAGGACTCACGAAGCCTCGTCATGTTCTGCACCCTCTCCCTGCTCCACCCCACCCTTCCCCCCTCTCCCCCCCACCCCCCCCCACCCCCCCCTCCTCTCTCTCCTTAAACACACGAAAGATCCCCATGGTGGGCCACTGGAGCGACCTGTATGGGCGTCGGCCCTTCATGGCCGCCCCCCAGCTTGCCTCCCTGGGCAGCCTCGGCGTGGTCCTGCTCCACCTCCGAATTGGGCTGCCGCTGTACTGGTACTACGTCGTCCAGGTGTGCATGAGCGGCTTCTCTGCCCTGGCGGTGAATCTGGCCTTCCTGGCCGACACCCTGTCCCCGGTCAACCGCCCGCCGGCCTTCGGCCTGGTGCTGGCCGTCTTCTCAGCCGCCGTCATCCTGGGGCCCACACTGGGCAGCCACCTGGGCGCTGACCTGGCTGTGAAGGCCGCCATGGTCGTGGTGCTGCTCTGCTCAATCTCCACCCTCACCCTCCTTCCGGAGAGCCTGCCCAAGGAGGTGGGTGGGGTTGTGGGAAGTGTGCAGTGTAGGGGGGTAGAAGGGGGGACTGTGATTGCTTGGGGGTGGCAGAGCGGGCCAGTGGGGCCTGGCCATGACTGGTGAGGAGCATCGGGGGGTGTTCATGTTGTTGCGATCAGTGCCAGGGGACCCCTCGTGCATCCCCAGCCCATGCCAGGCCAGGCCATGCGGGGAACGAGTCATTGGCCTATTGAACACATCCCACACCGTGCTGCAGCACCCCCACCATCCTCCCTGACGCTGCTCCACTCAGGCCCGGGGCCGGCCTCCCACGTCGCCGCATGCCCGCCAGCCGCTGCCCGCCTGGCGGGCGGTGACCATCCTCACTCGCTCCCGCCTCTTCATCACCCTGACGCTGTGCATGATGCTGATGGGGATGACGGCAGAGGGCATCCAGGACCTCCTAGTGCAGTACCTGCAGCTGAAACTGGGCTTTGGGGTGCAGGACCAGGTGAGGCGGCGCTGGCGGGTGTGCAATGTATGTTGAAGGGTGTGGGGCAGCATGCGATGGTCACGGAACAGATCTCAAAGCTCGGCAGAAGGCCATGAAGCTCTTGTGCCAGAGAATGTCCTGCCTCCCAGCGCCCCCACCATTATCCCTGTCATCTCGTTCCTCAGGCCCACCTGTTTGTGGTGCTGGGCGTGGGGGGCCTGCTGGTGCAGGGCCTCCTGCTGCGGCCCCTCCTGTCTCTGGCCGGGGACAAGTCAGTGCTCATGCTGGGCCTGACGGCCTCTCTGGTGCAGCAACTGGCCCTGGCAGTCGCGGGGACCAAGACCCAAGCCCTGGCTGCAGTGGGTCTGGGCGCCATCGGTGAGTTGCTGGAGGGGCTGGGTGGGGTTGCATCGGTATGGATTGTCCTCCCAGCTCCCTACATGGGAAGGGTATCATCACTGCCGAGAGCTTTTTCAGTACACAGCGCAGTCCCCACATGTGGACCCCTGGCGTGCCGTACAGGCGGTGGTCGCTCGGCCGCCCTGCAAGTGCTGAACTGCAAGACTGTCTGCCTGCAATTGCTCCTGGCAAAATTTCGTCTCACACTCCCCCCCCCAAACCTCACCCAACGCCCGCCTCACCTTGCAAGCACCCTCTGCCCCTCCCCGCAGGGTCTGTCACCTTCCCTGTGATCAGCTCCCTGAAGGCTAACAACGCCAGACGGGATGAGCAAGGTGCTGTGCAGGTGCGTGGGTAGGTGTGGGGGGGGGGTGTGGGGAGGGGGGCACACCAGCATGCCGCCGACTGTGGGAAGGCATGCTGCGCTGGTGGAAGGGTCACATGTGGCGAGCCGGTCGCGCGTCGCATAGGATGGGCCCGGGTGATTCGGCGTGAGCATGAAGAGGCTGTCACATGCATGTCGGCTTTCCAGCCCACCAAACACCTCGTGCCGCGGCAGGGTGCCCTGATGGGCGCGCGGGCGGTGGCCTCTGGCTTTGGACCCATCGTCTTCTCCCTGCTGTTCGCCGCCTTCACCCGCTCCGACTCGCCGCTGCCCTACTTTCCGGGTGCCCCTTTCCTCCTGGCGGCAGCCCTCACCCTGGGGGCAGCGGGGGCAGCCCTCAGCATGCCCATCCCCTGGATGGTCACAGCAGCCAAGGCTGAGGAGGGGGTGGCCATGCCAGACCCCCCAGGAGAGGTGATCTGGGATCGGGAGGGTCCTGAGGACCTGGAGCATGCCATGCTTCCCGTGGAGGCCAGGCCCCTCCTGTGATCCTGGGGGTCTTCCCGCGCAGGCATGCCTGCGGTTTATTTCATTCCTGCTGAATTCTTTCTGCATGCTGGTTGAATCTGAGCGTTCTGTGTGTACTGGTGCATTCAGGCTAGCTGTTGCTGTAGCAGCAGAGGGTTTTGGTCTTAACCTGTGGTGATGGCAGTCCCTAGAAAACCGGCATGACAGGACAGCCGAGGCCTACTCATACTTACGGGGGGGGCATGAAAGGGGAGTTGGTGCCTCAGAAAGCATAGGACATCTTCTCAACGTGCAGTACCAAAAAATATATCGCTCGCATGTGCCGCTTGCTCTCCTCCCTGCAATGGCCAGTAGAAGCCAGCTCCTCCCAACTACGACTGAGCTGAAACTCATGACCTGATCGAATCTTCCTTTCCAAGCCGCTTCATCACCACGAGCCTGTCCTGAGCTGCAGCCCGAGCCACGACCGTGCCAGCCAGAGCAGTGAGGACGAGCGGCCTGGCAATGGAAGGGCGGGGGGGGGGGCAGGGGAGGTTGCGGATGAGCTTACCCATGGAGTGGGTGCAGCCAGCTGCACTGCAAGGGTGTACATGTTGAGGCCGGAGCAGGTACGCACAGGTTCACGTCAGGGACAGTCTGTCCCAAGGTACCCCCCTGCACATAGACTTTCTCACCAGGGCCCCTCCGTCAGCCCAATCTCCCGGAAGTTCAAGCCCTTGAAGAAGGGAGTGGTCCGCTGGAGTGTGGTGAGATACACGCTGCGTCCTCGTGCCTGTTCAAGCACATGGAGGGCCAGCCTGGTTCCCACTCCACAGTACCTGGCGGGCAGGGTTATGGGCAGCACTGATCATACTGGCATTGATCACCTATGCCAGAGTCTGGCTGCCAATCCACCGCTCTGTTTCTGCTCTACACACACTACACTCACACAGCACCCCAATGGGCCTACAGTACACTGTCACAGTCCTCACACTCCCACAAACCTGTGCTTCTCCAGGATGACCAAGGAGGCCAGCTCGACGCTAGAGGCAGTCAGCGGCTTGAGCTGGGCGAAGCCTACCACGCCGCTGTCTGTCTCTGCCACGGAGAAATTTCTCAGATTGAGTCCCAAGGGATTCATCCTGTGAGTTCGGGTTGAGTGAGGGGCCCGGGAGCCTATGAGGGCTCCTTCCATCGTAATTCCATCATGTAAACCCATGGAAGGAGGAGAATGTCTTCATTGGGGAGTGCGCTCCAGTTCCCACCTCAAGCCCCAAATCGTCTTCCGGATCAGCTCGCCATCCTTGTCTTGGGCCGGGCGGAAGTTGATGGATGCACGAGGCCTGGCGGCCGTGGCCCGGCCTGCTCGCCCTGCAAGCCGGGCCGGATGACTCTCACTGCGACACCAACCCAGCAGGCGGGTGGACACGCCCACACTCACCAGCATGCCTCACATTCTCAAGAGGTATATAGAAGGGTGTAATGTACCGAATGGCATGTACAGGTGCTCAACGTCCGGATTTCCCTCGTTCTCGGCCGAGATACTGCCTCGATTCCTATCAGAGTTTCCTACCCACAACGGCTGAATCGCTACTTTACTAATGTGCACACCATTTGTGCTGGTAGACGAGAGGGGGTAGGGATGCAGTGTCGCTCTCTCAAAACGGCTGATGGCCGCCTTCAGGGCACAAGTGGAGCTAATGAGTGCCAATGGAAAAATGGGGGGGCCTCCATGGACGGAGTGCAGAATAAGAAGGATGACAGCATTCGGTACAGTGGTCTGGATTTCAAATCGAGCCTCGTCGGGCAAAACTTGGACGAGTCGTGTGCAAAGAATAGGGAGGTTTGTTTGGCTGCTCAGCAGGTTGGAAGGACTCGATGCTGGAGTGGAGGTTTTGCTGGGCACCCAGGTCCGTGTCACTTCTGACCGCACACTAGGAGCGTGCCCGGGGTACTGCAGGTTTGGTATTGAGGAGAGACGTGGATGGGTGAGGTGGTGTTGGGACCGAGGGTCCAGGCTGCCCCGCCCTGATCCCCTCCTCCCAATCGAAACCCATCATGGCCATCATGCCGTCCACTGTATCCAGTGCCTCACCCGCTGCCCTTCCGGCCCCTGCCATCAAGATGGTCCTGGTAGGCGGCCGGGACCTGGTCCCGCCCCTCCAGACGCCTGGTCCAGGGTGGGGAGCCGCAGCTGGACTCGCCCTCGCTGGCCGAGTGCCCTAGACTGCGCTGGGCCTGCTTTGCCTGCTGCAGCACCTGGTGCAGCGTGCTGATCACCACCTCGTGGTTCTGCGCAAGATGGACGGGGAGGAGGGCAGCAGTGGGGTGATGGCCACATTTTGGAGCGGTGCTACTCCCCAATAAGCTGGGCGGCTTCCCTGACTTGTTGATTCCCAGGTCATGCATCCGAAACGCATTCCAGGCAGGCCATGGCCCCAGCGGCTCTGGCAGCATCAAACCCGAATCGCACAGGCTTGTCCCCGTCAGGCACTCCCTGCTCCCTTTCCCTCTCCCCTTGCACACGATCCCTCACCGTGCAAGCCGTGTTCCCAAGGTGCCGCGTCCGTTCCACCTTGAGCGACGCCAGGAGGGCGACCAGCGTCGCCTCGGTATCCTCGCCGGGGTCTGAAGCCAGCCGCCCGGGGGCAGACCAGCGCGTCATGAAGGGCAGGGTGCCCTCGGTGCCTACCTGGCACGTGCCAGATGGCGCTGTAGGCAATAGATTCCGCCCCGACGGGGATGACCAGGTATCAGTGGCTGTCGAGGCGCCGTCTGGGCTCCCGCCGCAAGCCCCCAGCCTCCCCCTCGACAGACATGTGGGGCCAGGCTGGCTGCTGGACTGGGAGCGGACCACGGTGAGCACCTGATGAGGGCCCGAGCTGGTTCGCTGGGGGCTGTCTGCTGCGGAGAGGTGGCTGTCTGCTTTATCGGGGCTGGCGTCGGAGGGTTTGGTGCTATCCGAGAGACGGCACCGCTCGCAGGAGTGCCGGCGCCCGTGCCTCTGACGGCCGGCGCGGCGGCCACCCTTTTCAGTAGCGACCTCCTGATCCACACGGGCCAGGGCCTGTGGGGACACGAAGGGCCTGACGTCGCTCTGCCTCAGCTGCTCCAGGGAGTGCGCGAAGAAGCAGGGCCGGCGCCGGCAGGCAGGCCCGTCGTTGCACAGCTGGGTCCGGTAGCGAGTGGGGTGCAGCCAGTACTCGAAGACGTTGTGGGAGTAGGGGCAGCGATCTCCGCGGGGACAGGAGTTGTTCTGTTGTATCATGGGGAGGGTTGGGAGAGCGTGATGGGTGACCAGGGACAAAACTCGGGAGGGTGAGGCAGGGCCTGCGGCCGCGAGACTCAAGCCCCCGCGTGGCCCCACGGACATTATGCAGGGAACAAAATGCCGTTTACCCCTTCATTTACCCACAATTCGAATCCAATCTCTGCTGTCACCCACCCTCTTCATGTCCGGGCAGGCGATCCCGGTATAATCATGCGTGCGGGGGGCCCGCCGCACGGCTTTCTCCCCAGCATGCGCAAAGGGACAGGTCGTCCAGTCGTGCGCAGCGGCCTGAGAGCACGGCGTGACCTGAAAGGGGCAGATGATGCCTCTGTTGGTGTTGTCGTCACAGGTGCTCCGGGCATGTTGCTACTCTCGACCAAGCGCGCAGTGCGAAAAGGCCGCAGGCATTACAACCCCTCCCGGATTACGCAAGCATGTCAACCCTCCCCATCCCACCTCCACACCTTCATCTCCCACATCCGAAACTCGTCAGATTCATAGAAAGTCTCATCCAAAACGGGACTGTCGAGAATGCGGGAGTCGTCGAACTCCAGCGGGGTGTCAGTTTCCTGCAGGTTACGAAAGAAGTGGGTGGGAGTCTTGAAAAACCAGCAGATACTTGCAAGATTGAAAATAATCCATCGGCGTAAGAGTATACGGTGTTTTGAGAGGAGGATTGCAGCCATACTTTGCTCATGACGGGCGCCCGAAGTCCTGTGTCATGGGTGACAATGTCGATGCCGAGCTTGTGAGCTCTGAGCCAGATCGCTAATAACGATCGTAAGCAGAAAGCACTCTTTTCTAAGCAAATTGAGAATGTCAGCTCATAATTCCGATCCGATATCTTTTTGGGATGGAGGTGGAAGGTGGGCTGCGTGCCCTCGTCATATTTCGTACCTGGCTGCTGGCGTGGCACGGGGTGGGCAGAGGGCTCGCGCACCGTTTCCCAGCTTCTGACAAGGGAGTACTTCAAAAGAAAATCGTACTATTTCCCTGATGCCTTTGTGCCTCATGAGCCAATGTGAAAAGGGCCGTGGTTGTTGTGGAAGGAAGGCACGCCGTTGTTCGCATTACTCATCACGCCGGAGTGATTCCTTGATAGTGAGAACAGTCTGGGAGGCAACCCTGCCCGTTTCCGTAGGATGGAGTCCACTCCCGCTTGTAATGGTCTTGGAATGCCCAAATCAAGTCTGATGCCGCTTCGGCGGGACCTCTTCGCACCAATTGACCGGCTGTCTGGCCCAGGGATGGCCGCCACTCGGACTGCGTCGGGGCCTTTCGGCCAGCCCGGGGGGCCACCTACTGCTTGGAAACGGAGCGAGCAGCAGGTCAAGATTCACGAATTCTCCGCATGCCCCATTTCCAAGGGCTTGGAGGAGTTGATTTTACAAAGAGGCCTGGCTCTTGATGAGGAGGGCTTGTGTGCATGCGACAAGGATCATGTGGCAGGCGCCCTCCCCTACCCAGGCAGACTCAACCCCGACGCGGCACCCGCACCTCGCTCTTTGCTGTCCAGATACCACGTCACCGGTCCGTCGTTCACGCTTGCGACATCCATCATGGCTCCAAACACGCCGTCACGCACGCGCTCAGGCCTATAGGCCTTTCCCAACGCCTCCAAGACAGCATGGTACTGATCCCGTGCGGTATTGGGCGACTGGGCCCGGCTGTAGTCTGGCTTGTTCCCCGACAAGCGACCAAAGAGGGTGAACTGGCTGACGCAGAGCACGCTGCCATCAACATCTTGCACGTTGCGATGCCACGGCTTCTTCCCATCCTGACTGGGCCACAGCCGGATGCCCAGGATCTTTCGAATTCTGTACCATACGATGTGGGGAAGTAGGGAGGAGAGCATGAGGTCAGCGAGATGAAAGATCACTGGACAGGAGCACCCATGCCAAGCTGGTTGCCCATCCCCAGTGCACCGGATAGTTACATTTAGCAGCTCACAGACTGGGTAACCCCTGTCCCTTCCACTTCTTACATGTATGCGGCATCCTCCTCGCTGTCATCCTTGCCCAGGCCAATGTAGCAGAGCAGGCCGGGCCCGATGCTGGACACTACTTCCCCATCCACCTGCGGACGGATAAAAAAACCTCAAAATTCCGAGGAAAATAGGCATACTTTGGAGCCGTGGGTGGTCATGCATCACGTACCGATACACTGGCGGATTTAACACGTTGGATGACCGTCCGCATGTGGGGTGGGCTCAGCGAATGGTGGTTGCAGGAGCTCCCAGCACCCAACTTGATCTGACCGCCACAGCCAACAACTATATTCTTCAGAGCTTCCAATGTCACATCCGGTGCAAAGCGAGGCCTCCCCCAAATCAAGCCTCACCCACATACTCGCGCGGGCGCTCGTCCACGTGGGGGGGGGTGACTCGCGGAGCGTACGCACCGCAGGTGCCACCTGGGTGCAGTGACCACACTTGGAGGAGCGTGCATGCGATGTGAGATGTACCTCCTAGTATTCTACCTTGTGGCAAACCGAAGACTGCATATACCTGAAGTTGCCGTCCCTGTTGCCTGCTGAGGGATAAGAGGCCTCAGCGGAAGGGCAGGCAGCCTCGCGAGTAATGGCATCTCAGGAAGCCGCTCCTCGCTATGATGGGACAGAGCCCATCGCATCTCGCCTGAGAAACGATGGAGGTGGGTTACCGCAATCCGTCCCCGCTTCTGACTCGCCTTTTGTTTTCAGCTGGCGCACCCTGCTCCAGCACATGGGGTGAGATCCGAGTGGCATGCATGGCACCATGCTTCAGGGGGTATGGAGATGTTCACCCTTTCCGCATGATGCGTGTGGGTTGATAGGGATCGATGCATACTCTTCGCGACCCCATTTTGCTCAACCACGCCATGCCATACCCAGGCCTGGCTTCCTCATGTGCATCGCCTTCATCGATCCTGGCAATCTGGAAGCTGATTTGCAGACAGGGGCAAGGACGGGTTACATCCTATTATGGGTTGTACTCGCCAGCACCTGCATGGTGAGTAGCATGGCTGGGTGGCACAATCTAGTTTCGAGCTCGACTGCGAAAGTACAAGGTGCTTGCCGGCTCTGCTTGCTCTCAGAGTCACAGTGAGTGTGCCTTGTTTGCTCTCACACCATTCACAGTGCCCGTCTTGATTACCATTTGTCACAGCTTTCCGCACATTGGCCCTCCCTGTCCTCCATTGCTGCAGGGCATGCTGCTGCAGGCCCGAGCATGCAAGCTGGGCGTCACCACTGGCAAACATCTCGCCACTCATTGCAGGTGTGTTTGGGTGGGCCAAAACGACGTGCATGACTTCCCCTGTAGTTTGGGAGGGTATTGGATTGTGGGAGCATCCTCAAGACCATCAAGCCTGCTGAGGACGAGCAGGGCGAACAAGTATCATCTCCCTCACAGCTCCGTCCGCTGCCTGACACATGCCTCCACAGTCCAATGCACCCAATCTCAACTGCTACCCCTCTTTGCCTTCCCCAAACTCAGGGCCCAGTACTCCCCCTTGGTCCGGACAGTACTGTGGCTGATGGCTGAGCTGGCCATTGTGGGCTCGGACATCCAGGAGGTCATCGGCACCGCCCTCGCGCTGTCCTTGCTATCTCGCGGCCACATCCCGGTCTGGGCAGGTGAGGGTAATGCAGAGAGAGAAACCCGAAGGGGTGTGAAGTCACATCTTGGAGGCATGCTCCCCCCGTTCCTCAGGGCATGTGTCTGAGCAGTGCATCCCTGGGCCCCTGCCCCGGGTGCCGCTGTGGATGAGCTACTGCCTGCCTCATCTGCCATGCCTACGACCCTGGCGCCGACAAGCCGGCTCGATCCCGGCCGCAATCTTGTCTCCCTTCCTTTGCTCAACCCACCGCCCTGCACCGCACTCGCCGCGCAGGCGTCATCCTGGCCGCCCTCATCGCCTTTGCCCTCCTTGTCCTCGAGAAGGCCGGCGTGCACTGGCTGGAGCGCACCTTCCAGGGCTTCGTGGCGGTCACCATGGTGGCCATGGGCGGCCTCTTCTTCATGGCAGACATCCCCTACGCCAAGGTGGCAGAAGGTGCGTGCATGTGTCGAGTTTCGGAGCGGTGCTGGGGCAAGGCAGGACGTAAGCTGTGTCGTGGCAGGCCATGAGATGCGGTCAGTGGGCCCTTGTTGCGGTGGTCCTGCGAGCGCCTTTCCAGCGCCGTTCGGCTACACGCAGACAGATCCATGCCATTTCTCTCCCACCCCCCCCTCCCTCCAACCCAAAGGCCTCTTCATCCCGAGGTTGCCGCGTTCCACCATTGCCATCGCGTGCGGGCTCCTGGGGGCGATCATCATGCCGCACAACCTGTTCCTGCACTCTGCGCTCGTGCACTCCAGGCAAGCGCCTGGTCCGGGCGAGGCTGGGTGTTGCCAGGGCCTGCGTGCACTCGGGGCTCTTGCCCCTGAATGCATGCTGCTTGGGAAGCGCTGTGCGCCCAAGACTCCACGGCTGCGTTCGAATCTGTGTGTCCGCACCCCGCCAGGCAGCCACCACGCCCCAACCCTGCCACACTGATTGGACTTTTCCCCGAAAGATCCATGCGTATTCCACTAGTCTACCACTGCCCACACATACAACGACACCCTGTAGGCCGCTGCCCAACGGAAAGATCGTGTCGCGCGGGGACAGCATCAAGTACTACAACATTGAGGGGGCTGTGGCTCTCATGGCCACCCTCATCATCAACATCTGCGTCATCTGCGTCTTCTCAGCCGGCGTGCACGGCCGCCCCGAGGAGGAGGACATTGGGCTGGCCAATGCCGGCGAGTTCCTGGGCAGACGATACGGCAAATCCATGGCGAGTCGGGCTGGAGGGGGCGCAGATGGCGGAGGCGATCTGGGGATACAAGAGGAGGGGGTCCACACGCCAGCCATTGTGGACCTGTGTGCATTGTCACTGCCCTGTATCTTGCTCAGAGGACCTCTGCTGGGATGCTGACAACGAGCCCACTAGCTGACCCGCTTGACGCCCTCCCCCTTCCACGTCCCAGGAGTTCCTGTGGGGAGTTGGCCTCCTGGCAGCGGGCCAAAGCTCGACCATGACGGGGACCTATGCCGGCCAGTTTGTCATGGACGGCTTCCTGGACCTCAAGGTTTGTGCTTGTGACTGTCTCTGGTGCTGCCCATCGGCAGCGGCGCGTCCTCTGTTCAAGCTGCGCTGGGCCTGCGCGGCCCTGTCTCTGCTGCTCATTCTGGCCACACCAGGCCTGCATGTCTCTCTGTCTCCCCATCCTGAACCTGGTGCCCCAAACCCCAACCCCCATCGCGCAGTTGTCGGCCACCAAGCGGGCCATGATCACGCGGGGCGTTGCCCTGTGCCCCACCATGCTCTTCGCCTTTGCCTCCCCCGGCATGATGGACGCGCTGAACCAGTGGATCAACATCCTGCAGTCCGTCCAGCTTCCCTTTGCGGTCGTACCCGTGAGTTGAGGGGGTGAGGGCCTGGAGTGAGTGGGGACACAGCAATGCAGGCTCTGCCGCCTACCTCCCTCGGCGTCCCCTGCCCACATCCCTTCCGTCCTGGAACTCAGATGCCCACCTTTCACAAACCCAACACACGCAGCTGCTGGTGCTGACCTCGGGGACAGGCGTTATGCCCCCTGAGTTTGCCAGCTCAGCGCTCTCCACCTACTCAGCCTGGGCGGTGGCCCTGGTCATCATCTGCATCAACTCCGGGACGGCGGTGGAGACCTTCATCACGGTCCTCCCGCCCGGGGTCCTGGCGGCCGCCGGCTTCGCCCTCTTCGCGGCAACCTACCTCGCCTTCATCCTCTTCCTGGCTGTCGGCCCCAAGCGCTCCGCCCGCCTGCTCCGGATCGTGGGCTGGGGCGCCCGCGACCCGAGGCCTGCGGGCGGCGCCGGCGTGGGCGGCAAGGAGCCGGTGCCGGACTCGGCGGTGCCCCTGCTCGCCTACCAGCCCGAGCGACAGTGAGCCCGCCTCTCGCAGGTGGTGGGCTGCAGCGCCTGGATTTTGCCGCCCGGGACATGTCCTGCACATTCACCTTGAACGCCTTGTGTGCGGTCCTCGGCAGGATTGCTTATTTATTGGGCCGACCGCCCCACTGCCCTGTTGGCAGCCTCTTGCCCGCCCCCGCAGCCAGCCCCATCAAGAGTCTGTGAACGAACTTCTGATCCTGGTGTGCTTTTCAGTTGAAAGACTATACAGCCGCTGTCAGGGATTGCAACACTGCAGTGGAAAATGCTCGCCTCCAGAGTGGTCTTGCCGCGCGACCATCAGCGTACAGCCACTCGCATTGCGTCCGCTCCACACATCCGCCAGCCATGCCGAGGGATACGAGAGGTGGGAAGGGGACCAGTGCCGGGCATGTACTAGGGCTCCAGGCCCTCGAGACACAGAGGCCCCCTGGGCTCGCAGCCCCGCCCTACAGCGGCAGCGTGGCCTCCTTCAGCCACTCCAGCTCCCTGCCCGACAGGCGTGGGGTGAGCGCTGCCAGCACCTTGGCGTGGTAGGCGTCCACCCACGCGATCTCATCGGCCGTCATCTCCTGCAGGCAGGGGAGTATGGTGGGTTGCTTGTTTGTGGGGCGGGGGCCTGCGGAGCGGATGGTACCCTCTTCGTCCGCGATGCCGCCCCAGGCGTTCAGGAAGGCTCCTGTCCGCGCTGTTTGAGCCGAGTCCTACAGCTCAGACCAGGATCCTTGGACAGGCAAGCCTGCCTTCCCTTCCGCCAAACGGCCCCCCCCCCCCCCCCTCCCTCCACACACACCTCCCTGACCATCATCTTTTTTCTGGATAGGCACTACGGTGAGGGGCTGTGCGGTCAGGTACTCCTGCCCGCCGAAGCGGAAGGGCGTCTGCGCCTCGGTCACCACAAACAGGTTCTCGATGCGGATGCCGAATGCGCCGTCCTCGTAGTACCCCGGCTCGTTGGAGCAGACCATGCCCCGCGCCAGGCCGGCGGTGATGTGCCAGCGCCCACTGATGCTCTGCGGCCCCTCGTGCACATTCAGCGCGGCGCCCACGCCGTGCCCCGTCCCGTGGCGGTAGTTGAGGCCCAGCTGCCAGAGCGGCGCGCGCGCCAGCGCGTCCAGCGCGCAGCCGGGCGTGCCCTCGGGGTACACCGCGGTGTCCAGCGCGATGTGGCCGCGCAGGACGCGGGTGAAGCAGCGGCGCTGGTGCTCGCTGGGCGTGCCAAAGTGCATCGTGCGCGTGACATCGGTGGTGCCGCAGTCGTACTGCCCGCCGGAGTCAAGGAGGAGGAGGGTGTCGGCGCCCACCCGCGCCGCGGTGGCCGGCTCCGCGCGGTAGTGGATGATGGCGCCGTGCGGACCCGCGCCCGCGATCGTGTCAAAGCTGGTGTCACGGTAGCCGGGCTGGGCCGCGCGCAGGGCCGTCAGGCGCTCGTCCACCTCCACCTCAGTCAGGCTGCGCCCCGCGCCGACCTCCGCCTCCAGCCACGCCAGAAAGGTGACCAGGGCGACGCCGTCGCGCAGGTGGGCCTCCACCATCCCCGCCAGCTCGGCGGCATTCTTTACCCCCTTGGCCGCGGCCAGGGGGGAGGGGCGCTCCAGCAGCACACGGTGCGGGGGGGTGGGGTGGGACTCACCCACCGCCCCCCCGTCGCCGGCGGCGGCGCCGTTGCCGGCGGCACCCGGTGAGGCGCGCCGCTTCTTGCCGCGCGGCGAGGCGCGCGTCTCGCCGTCGCCGTGCTCCAGCGCCAGCAGCGCCATGCGCTTCAGCGCCGCGTTAACCTTGGCCGGGTCCAGCCACACACGGGTGGAGGTGCGCCGCGCCTCCGCCGCCGCGGCGGCCAGTGCGTCGCCCACCGCCTCGTAGGCGGCCACGCCGACGCCGGCCTCGCGCAGTGCGGCCCCCGCGGCCTCGCCCAGCTTGGCCCTGTCCACGAACAGCGTGGCGGCGTCGGCCGTGACCAGGCAGTAGGAGATGAAGACGGGATTGTGTGCGACGTCGCCGCCGCGCAGGTTGAGCAGCCAGGCCACCTCGTCCAGGGCGGTGACCAGGAGGGCCGAGGCGCGGAGCGCGGCCATGGCGCGCCGGAGGTCGGCCAGCTTCTCGGCGGCCGCCACGCCCGCCCACTCCAGCGCGTGCGGGGCCACGGGCGCGGCGGGGGCGGCAGGCCGGGCGCGGCCCCACACCTGGTCCACGGGGTTTGGGGACAGGGGGACCAGCCGGCGCCCGCCCTCCGTCAGGGCCGCCTCCAGCTTCTCCGCGGCCGCCACCGTGTGCAGCCAGGGGTCGTACCCGACGGCGGAGCCCTCGGGTACGTTCTCGGCCAGCCAGTCCTCGATCTGAACAATACTCAGGATGTGGGTAGGAGCAGGGGGGGGGGGAGAAGGATGATGACATGGTGCACAGTGAACAACACGCCAGCCGCGGGACGGCATCGAGGTGCCAGAGCCGGTCAGCAGCGATGCATCCGGCAAACAGGCAGGCGGCCGGCGCACCTCGGGGCAGCCGGGGGTGCCATGCTTCATCAGCGTCCAGCCGCTCTCCAGCTGCGACTCCGCCTGCAGGAAGTAGCGCCCGTCCGTCCAGAGCAGAGCGGCGTCTGAGGTCACCACGGCCGTGCCCGCTGAGCCAGTGAAGCCGGTGACGAAGACGCGCCGCGCGTCGCAGTCGGGCGGATACTCCCCCTGGCCGCGGTGCATGGGAAGAGGGTTGGTCTGGACCCCGCCAATGCATGACACATGCCCCACAAACCGTGCACAGGCAGGAGCTTGCAGCGACAAATCATCCGCCAGGGGAGGCCTGGACTCCCGGAGCCCTGCTCGACAGCACACATCAACCCTCGCCCCTCACCATGTGGGCGTCCTCGGTGGGGATGATGAAGGCAGCCACGCCCTCCCCGTCCTGGGCCTTGCTCAGCAGGGTGCGCAGCTCGTCCAGTTTGGGGCTCGTAGATTCATTGGACGCCACCATGCTGCGCTGCCTGGTCGGAGCTGGCGAGGAGAGCGAAGCGGAGCACAGGAATCTCCCGGTCTGCGGTGGGGTTGAAATGGGCGTGAGAGAGACACGCCGTGTCCGTGATGCGGCCTCGCTGAGAGACTCCACGACCCAGGCGACTACCTTTGGCACCCACCTTCAGGGGGCTTGCGAGGTGGTGGGCTGCTCTGTGTCGGGCAGCATACGACGAGGAAAGGACCGGCTCGAGGGAAAGACCGTGCACAACCCTCAGATGAGGAACCACGCTGGAGAACAGGCGCATGCAGGAGATGTGCAGAGTGTGATTGGCGATTGGCAGAATGATCGGATTATGCTGAGTGGATTCACGACCCTTGGCCCGCGTGTCGGGGAGGACCTCCTGTCAATGCGATCCAGCAAAAGAAACAACGACAGAGTTTTCATGCGATTTGGGATCCTCTTCACGGCAAACGTAGACAGGTGAGAACCTAACATTTGAGCACGACTACTCGTCCAAGGGGTAGGAGCTCCTCTCCGTCTTCATTCCATGCCCATGCCCATGCCCGTGCCCTGACAAACTGAGGGTCCCAGTGCACTGTATGAGGCAGACCTAACTTTGTTCTTGCAGACAAGTTGGCAAGGGTATAGGGTGTATTCGACGGAACAAGCTCTGTACGACCTGGCGACCCCCCGATCGCCGCTGTGTTAGGCCCAAGGGTCAAGGGTGCCTCCTCAGGGCGATTTCTACTGTTAGCGAGATGGAGTTGCACATGGACCTGCCTGTCGCCGGACTGGGTCAGCTGGGGAGCTGGGTAGCTCCACAGCACACACTGTTCCCTTGAAGAGCAGCGAATGTACCGCAAACCCCTTTCCTCTGCCTCACCCCCAAGGAGATCGAGGACAAGGGTGCTTTGCCTCGAGGGAAGTTTTGAAATCACGAAAGCAAAACAACCATGTTCCACCCAATCATACATCTGGTGCGGAGAAGAAACAACACTCTGTTTTGCGTTCTCGAGACAACGGTAGTCACGCGCACATGTCCAGGGTGTCCTTGAAGTAAAGTGCGGACCGGTCATCCGGACAAGACGGATTAGACCCAGGCAGCTCAAGCGGAACACAAACTGTGCCAAGACTCCTGTAGAGAAATATCCACAAAACATTTCACCAATTGTGTAATTATTTGACTAGGAACATTCATCCGTCCGCCCCTTGTTGCCCAACAGCACGATGCGGGCAAACGGGCGGATCATCCATTTAGGTATAATTCTCTGCCTTCTCGGGATCGCTATCGTGTCCAGAGTGAGTTTGTAGGGATGTATTGACCTTAAATTTACGTAGAGCATTAGGGTGGACGAGTGTGCAGTAAGGCCCTTGAAATCGCGCTAAACCCCCTATTCCCGCGAACAGTAGGGGGCGTGCACCTCCGCATTCTATCCACTACCGGCGATCATGTGAGTTCGAGAAGGAGTGTTGCTGCATAAACCGCCTTTCCTCGATGCCGAGGGGTTGCAGTCGCCCGAGGGGCCTGCCCACGTTGTCGAAGTGTTCCGGATATTCCTTCGTCCCTTTGCAAAGCCTTTTACACCGAATTCTCAGATACGGACCTCAAGTTTACATGGTGGACATCGAGAGTGCAAACGCTTTCTGCAGGTGACAATGGTTTTCACAAAGGATCTTCTCCCTATAAGCTCTGAAATGGACACGATGACTGTCCAGCTGGTCAGGATATTTTACACACCTCATTGTGGGGAAGACCGCGGACCACCTCGCAATCAACGCTACCACTCGCCATCAGAGGGCAAAGGGCCTCAGCAAGGCTGGATCTCTGCGCGACACCACTCTGAATACCCTAGGACTGGCTGTTGATGCCATCAACGCCGGTACTCTGAAGGTGAAGACGGCCCGCTCCACAAAGATCATCGTGGCCGTGGAGTGTGTGAAGAATGGACAAAAGGCTTGCACGGCAGACAAGGACGGCAACATCGGCACTGGCAACAGGGGAAAGGACAACTATGGAGGAAAAAACACGGGCAACAACAACATAGGCAAGGAGGCCGGGTGGGGGGGTCGGCAAGCGGTATGGACCATGCATGCAAGCTCTTTCATTATTTGGATGCCCCCACATTGCTCCTTGCGTCCAGTTGGCATCAACGTCCTCTTCACCCACAGGTGTTCTTAACAAGGGCAACAGGAACTGGGGCTTCAACAACACAGGAACCGACGTCCATTGCAATAACTCCAAGGGGACTTGGATGGGTGCGAACAAGTGCGGCCTGCAGGAACTCCGCAAGAACGCCTACAAAAACTTCAATCCTTCACCACCTCCCTCCAAAAAGCCGTCTCCTCCTCCCACCAAGAAGTCTCCTCCTCCCTCCAGGAAGTCACCGCCTCCCACCAGGAAGTCGCCGCCTCCCACCAGGAAGTCGCCGCCTCCCACCAGGAAGTCGCCGCCTCCCACCAGGAAGTCGCCGCCTCCCACAAAGGTGTCACCGGCACCTTCTCCTTTCCCCCGCTCTCCTCCTCCGCCCCCTCGTCAGTTGACCCCACCTCCTGCATCCCCAACTCTAACCTCGCCTCCACCGCCATCACCCGTACCTGCCCCACCGCCTCCGTCCCCGTCACCCTCGTTCCCCCCTCCCTCCTCTCCACCTTCATCTCCTCCTCCCTCCCCTCCACCTTCATCTCCTCCTCCCTCCCCTCCACCTTCATCCCCTCCTCCCTCCACTCCACCTTCATCACCTCCTCCCTCCTCTCCACCTTCATCTCCTCCTTCCTCCCCTCCACCCTCGCCTCCGCCCTCGCCTCCGCCCTCGTCCCCTCCGCCACCGTCCCCTCCATCCCCGCCTCCACCCACACCTTTCCCGCCTCCATCCCTCAGCGCGCCTGTCCTGACCGTCCTTGCCAACGACGACCACACGAAGACCTTCCCAGTAAAAACGGATGGCTTGTATGCTGCAATCATAGAGATATACCAGTATGACACCCCGAAATACACATGGAGCAGCCCAGATTCATACACGCACACTGAAACCCCAAGCACCGTCTTCATGATGGTAAGTACATATTGCTTCACCGTCAAGACAGCAGATGCTAAGGGCAACAAGTCACCGGACTCCAATCAGGTCTGCCAGAAGGGTTGAACAAAAAATGAGCTTCTCTGTGAGGTAGTAAGTTAGCTTAGCTGTTGTGATGGGGCCACTTGAGAAAATGATGCTCCTTCCTGCTGTAATTTCTATAGCAACCATGGCTCAGGTCTTCGCAAGGCAAGATCTATGCAGATAAATGGGCGGGAGTTGTCAGATCCAGCAAGGGTTGAGGGGACGAGCAGTTGACTCTGCTCCATCAAGGCACGGAATGTGAGGTGGTCTTTCGTGTGCTGAGGATTCTACCCGGTTCTAACTGCTGGACCAGTAGAAAAGCAGGCTTCATGGGAGATTTGAGGGCCTGGTAAGTCATTCTGTTGTGAGCTTCATTGTGGTCCCCAAGGACCCCGCAGCATGCAGCAGCTTCCTTGAACAGGAATCTTGGCCATGCTTTTCGTTTCACTTCCATCATCGCGTACACTGGCGTGTGAATATAGTAGCTCACCCGATCCTGCAAACATATTCAGGTCTTGCAAGATCGTAAAAATCCTGACCTCAATCACAACCAACATTAGCATCCTGGCAAAAGCGTAATTTCCTAGTTGTGTCTCGGGGAGATCAGACGCTGCCTTACCTTCCGCGGAGGGACGGCACGTGCTGCCATAATCCTCTCTGATTCCCTCCACCGGAGTCTTAACCCATACTGCACAGCAGTTCCTAGGGAACTGCCGGCGATGGGACCGGCTGCATCAGTGCTTCCATGGCCGTCAGCCATCTACGGATCACTGATATGCACTATTCACCCCACCAGTGGAGCTAGAAAGTGGCAGGACATTTTTGCATCAGATGAGAAAGGGAAGGTGTTAAGTCTGCTGCTGAGGCACTGGCGCATCTGTGCGATGGAGAGCATATAAAGGAGTCCTGCATACCCGATGACCCCGCCCGCATGACACACCGCCCATCTCCCATGGCCAGAATCACACCACAGACCACCAGCTGTCTCCCCGCCAAACAACACCCCGCAGTATGCTGGGCAGCTCACCACGTCACTGCCGCCGAATGGCAGCGTGTTGCCCCCTGGTCCCCACAGTCGGAGATACCCCCCGCCCATGGCAAAGCACGCTAGCCTCCGCTGCGGGATGGGAAGGACATTGTGTGGGTCAGAGGCACGATCTTATGGTCACGTGGCAGATCTAAGTTTTGCCCATCAACCTCCCCCCCACTCATCTTTGACTCCGTTTCTTGGTAGATTCAAAGTTGCTCCTTCGATGTTGCTCCTCCGATGTTGCTTCTCGATGAGTTTGTACTGGGAGTAGGCAGGAGTGCGTTGCGAAGGGTGTGGCAACAGACTAGCAGCCTCGCGAGCAGGGGATGGACAGTGCTGACCCGTCATGAGCCCACGTACATCGCAGACCATAACCAGCTGCCACACCAACACGGTCGACTCACCCGTTCAATATTGTTCCGCTGCGGCCAATCAAGGAGAGGGTACGGAAGCAGGATGACACCATCGTCGATCATTGACTGCAAGGCGACGAGATCGGCAGGTGTCGACCCGTCACGAGCGACCAGATCCGCAAGGGGGGCGGTTCGGAGTCTTGCACAGTAGGACGAGTACTCGAGGGCTGAAGATCTTGATGGACACCCCACTGGGCAAAGGGAGACATAGATACCAGCTACTGTGCTATGCAGGGACACTCCAGCACTGCCCATCTGTAATTCGGATGTGCAAGGGCCAATACCACTCACACCACTGCATCCACCTGCCCCATGGATGCAAGAGGTGTTGCGCTGGAAGGGCGTTCCTCCGCATTGCCACTCACGGCGCGCTTCACGCGCCGTCTGGTTT